TTTTCTGCTTATGTGGTGCTGAGGAATTGAACCCAGGGCCTCATGCATGCAAGGCAAGCACTCTACCACTGAGCCACCTTCCCAGCCCCCATTCTTCTTTTTTTTTTTAAGTTAGTATTTTCTTTCCCTTTTTTTTTTGGTCCTAGACTGGGACTTGAACTCAGTATCTGAGGTTTGCTTTTGCTCATTGGCTGGCATTCTACGACCTGAACCATGCCTCCAACCCCTAAAATAACATTCTTTTGCAGCTATCATACATCATACGAGAAGAAATATGGCAAGCCCACTGGCTCTACCTATAATTTCTACAACATGCCTTTGGAGAGGTGAAAGTAAAAGGTAGGTTTCAACAAAATAAAACTTTACCACAAGAAATCTTTCAAATGCAATTAACCTCAGTCTAAAAACTCTGAACTAAAAGTTTAATCCTGTTCCATGATCATAAAGAACAGATGTTATTCAACTTTGATTTCAGGACATCACCTTCGCAAGCATTCTGAAGGCTAGGAAACTGAGGACAATAGTTATCTAAGCAAAACTCTTAAATGTAATCTCAGTAACTGCCAAACACTTCATCATCATCTTCTAACCAACTACTTCCCCCTCCACCAAACAATGACAAAAAAATAAAAATCGCTAAACATCAAGGAGAGCCACTGCCAACAAACATCTCTAAGTATTACTAGAATTATCAAAGACCTCATCGCTATCCACCGGGATACCTTATCTTCCTGAGGTCCTCCATATTCTGCCTAGAGGATAATGAGCACTGTCAGTCTAATTTTAGTCCCTCCCTGCTCTTTCTGAGCCACCCACCACTCCATAGCCAGAGGTATCTTTCTGAAACATTAATCTAGAATGCCTTTTATGTTTCTGGTGGTACTGGGGTTGAACCCAGGGCCTCAAACTGCTAGATAAGTCTTCTACCACTTGAGCCATGATCCCACCCTAATTGTTTTATTTTTATTTTTTACGTAGAGTCTTGGTTTTGCTTATGGCTGACCTCACACCACAGATCCTTTGACTTTTCCTTCTTGAGACAGGGTCTTGGTGTTGTTTTTGTTGTTGTTTTCCCTTTTTTTCTTTACAGGCTGCAGAGAGCCATGGTTCCATCTCAGCCTCCAAGCCGCTACAATCACAGGTATAAACCACCACACCCAGCTCATATCTAGAAATCCTGCTAGCAAGTTTTTTGAAGATAACCTACAGAGTGATCACCATCAGAGGAGGACCTCAAAACGTAGCAGCTACCAAGGCAGTATTCCCATAAAGCCTAGAGGCGTTAGTAGTATGATAAAAGGTCTGTGAAAATTTGCAACCTTCAGGACAGAGCCTTAACTCTTCAGCCTGTCACCGTGTGCCTCCCAACTTACCTTCATTGGAGCATCTACCCCAAGAAGCTTCTAACAAGTTTAACAAGTAAACTCGAGTCCAAATCCCTCTTTCAGCAGCACTATGCTCTCACAACAATCTCCCCCTGGAGATGGCGAAGTGCAATCACCAATACCCTTGTCTCGGCTAGACTGAGGATGTTGTGTAGTGTCTACAGACTGTGATGACCCAGTGCCCAGCCCACAGAAGACGGGTTTGTTTTGCGAATGCAACCAAACTTCTCGGCTTGTATGAGGAAGTTGAGTCAGGATAGGTTAAGACACATGATCCAGAGGTGAAGGCAGCTCATCTAACCCCTAACAGTAGGGCAGGAAAGTCCTCCGGACTGCTTCCCCCAAGCCGAGTCTCTAAAACCCTCCGAGAATGCACTGCTCCCAGCCCTCCTCCGCCTGCCTTCTCCTCCCAGCCACCTCCCTTCTTCGCGTCCTCCATTGACAGAAGCCACCGGCTGCGACGTCGCGGCCAAGTGACTCGAGGCATGTGCCAACACCCCATCACCGAGCACCGCCGAGCTCTCCGGGAGGGCGGCAGCCCACCGTCCGGAGTGGTGGGTCTGCGACGCCCCGGCTGCCCTGCCAGGAGCCGGGACGTCCTCCCGCACCGGAGGGCGGAAGGCCGGGAGCAGAGCCGCCTCGCGCATCCCAGCGCCCCGTCGCCTACCGAAGACCAGGATGTTCTTGCCGGACGGCAGCTTGGACCTGGAGCGGGTGGACACTTCGCTTAAGATAGAAGACCTGCGGCGACAATGGTGAGAGCGGTCACCCAGGGCCCAACGCGGCCCAGCCCGCAACCAACATCCCGTCAGAGTCTGCCCCCCGCCCGGCCCGGCCCCCCGCCGCGGCCCGGCCCGCAGCCGCACCAGAGGCTCTGGCCCTCCTCCTCCTCGCTGGTCAGGTCGCTGGTGGCGGCCACCGCGGGCCCGTTGGGACCCAGCAGCAGCTTCTTCTCCACCCCCACCGGCGCCATCTTGCCAACTGCAGCCACAAAGAGGGCCCTCCCCCGGGCTGGCCGAGGACCCGCGAGGACCCCGCGTCGGGCGGCCCCCTCGCCGGGCCGCTTCC